TGCGTGACGATGACCTGCCACCTCTCGACGACTACGACTACGAATACAGCTCCCGTGCGGGCAGGCTCAGCGGCGGAGGAGAGGTGGCACAATACTTCACAACGCCTGCGACCCGATCTCCGTTCGTGCGACTGAGCACGTTCCGACAGGCGGACCAGGTTGTCGCCGCCTCCACATCGCGCCCGTCCGTCTCGTCGAGCAGGACGGCTCGGCCGCGCGAGCAGGCGGCGAGCGTCTCGCGCGCGCCGGCGGCCCGTGGAGCGGCTGTCGGCGACTCCGGTCGGGTATCAGACCTGTCGGTGGCCGCTAGCACGGCCCGCCCCTCGACGCCGTTTGGTGAGCGCGGCGCAGGGTCGCGAGGACGGGACGCCCCTGTGGCTAGTGGCCGCGTGCGGTCTGCCTCGCGTCTTCCGTCGAGAAGAAACTCTCTGACCAGAGGGAGTGGAAAGCGCCTGGTGGGAACCACGGCGCCACGTGCAGTCACCAGAGGGAGGCCCTTCTCGCCGACCGCCGACTCAGCGGCCGAGTCACCGCCGACCTTCCCCCCGAGGAGAAGCGAGTCTCTCCCGAGAACGTCTGGCCGGTTTACTTCACAGGCGGCCTTCTCGTCGACCACCTGGCCATCTCCAGTCCACTCTCATCCCGGTGACACCGCAGCCACTGTCCCATCTTCCTCAGACGCAACAAGCTCCACCAAGCCACCGTCTTCCTCCACAAGCGCCTTCCCTTCCCGAGTCACCGGAGTGCCACGCGCGGGAGCCCCGCTTGAGGGAGCTGAAGACTTCTCGTTCAGCAGGTCGTCTGAGCGCACCCCTGAGGCGTCTCCGGATCCCCCGTCCGTCAGCACTGCCTCCCGACATGACTCACGTCCGGTGACGACGCAAAACGCAGACCAGATCAGCACCAACGAGATCCCGGCAACCGGTGCCAGCTGGCCCAGTCACGCTCCGTTCTCCGCCCAGAGGCCCGCGGTGTCCGGGGCCGGCCATACCACCGCTCGAACGCCGCAGGACGCCATCTTTGTCACCCTCTCGGCTCCGTTCCAGACGCCGCCAGCCTCCACGGCTCCGGGCGCGCCGAGCCGCGCCATCAGCCCCACCTTGCGGAGCTTCTTCGACCGCGGTGTGAAGTCCGAGTCAGCGGGTCGCTGGTCTGCAGCCATCCCGGACGCCGCCGCTGGCCAGCCGTCGACCGCCGCCGCCGGGCGACGCGGCCCGCCCGATGCCGTGGCGGCCACCACATTCCACCCGACGGTGGGCGACTTGTGGGTCCGGTCCTCTACTCCGCCGACCCCGGCTGAGACCGCCGCCACGGGGCCGAGCACGACGGCAGGCCGGCACTGGCAGGACGGCGGGGCGGCGAGGCGGCGCCCGGCTGGTGCCGGCGGTGCGGCGAGATGGCGCCCGGCTGGCACCGGTCGGGTCGTCCCTCCCGCCAGGCAGCGGGGCGGCGAGAGCGGCTCGGACGCTGCCGGCACCCCGCGGCCCCGGGTACCGCCGCCCGCCCGCAGCAGAGGCAACCGCAAGTTCAACCCGGACGAACCGGGCGGCAGTCTCAAGCCGCTGCGCTACTGGAGGGCCCAGGTGGCGCGCACGCGGGCAGAGGACAAGGCCCTGCGAGAGAATAGCATCGCGGTGGACGTGCCGCAGCGGCAGTTGCATCGACAGCGTCAGGAGCAAGCAGAGCCTGCGGAAAGAGATAGCCAAAAGTTGACTTATCTCGAGAGCGCTTCCCGCGGACGGCAGTCAAGTACAGCTGGCAGGAGTAAGTCGGACGTCGCGACTTCGCTGAACCGGCAGGGGTCCCCCGCTACACAGAGGCCTTCGTCATCACCTTCCGCCGTACCTGCGGCGGGTGGGCCCAGCGGAGGATCGGCAGCCAGCCGTCGGGAACTGTTGCGCTCGCATCTGTCGCCGGTCGCGCCAGCGGACGAAGCCAGCCCCCATAGCGCCAGTGCCAGTCCTGCCGTCACCGGCGGCGAGGCCCATCAGCCGAGGCCAGCCTCCGCCGAGCAGCAGCTGGCGCAGCCCTCTCGAACCGGCGGCGGCGAGAGCGACACCGAGGCGGTCACCCGCGAGCCGCACGTAATCCGCAAGCGAATCCGGATCAATGGGCGACCGCGCCGGCCGGCCTCGCCGACCGGCCAGCTACCCACGGGCAGGACGGCTGCCGGCGGCGGCGGCGGCGGCGACGACGGCGACGAAGACGGCGACGAAGACGGCCCCCGGCCGCGGCGACGGAGGCTGCCGCCGACCGAAACGAACCGTCTCCACCGGTCCAGGCGCTCCAGTGACCACGGGCCGCTGCCATCCAGCCGGCTCGGCAGCTTTGGCCATTGGCCGATAGGTGGCGGTATGCGGCCCTCCGAGGCACCGACCACAGGTCGGCGGGAGGGAGAAGAAAGTGACGGATGGGCGACCTGAAGCGGGAGATGGTTGGGCATGCTGGAAACTGGCCGGGAAAAATGAGAAATACCTGGATGATATTGTCAGAAGCAGGAAACACGAGTGATGTCACGTTACGCCAAGTAGCATATATTTTTACATTTTTTTACGAATGCATATGGTTGAGGTCTTCTGCCATATCAAACTGGCAGCACTTTGTAAAGGATGCCCTGAAGGAAGCGTTTTGCTGATGTTTCCTTCTGTTTTGTGGTGTTCTTGTTGGAGATGTGTTTCGGAGTTGTGAAAACTTGTATTCAGACTGTTGTCTTTCAAAGTGCGTGTAGGTTTTTAACGACAGTGGAAGTGATACGGTGATTTGTGCATGCGACGAAGTGATTGTAGGCCGGGTTTGTCTCCACGCATACAGCTAGTACAATTTGGACGATGGTGCTACCTGTCTGAGAGAGCTCGGTGAAAACTACGAGGAACGAACCCAAGACCATTCCGACTTCACTGAACCTCCATTAGGCAGGAACATCCGGCTCTTTGACAATGGGTTAAGAAGATGCAGCGTAGGTGCGCAATGTCACAACCCACCGCAGCTGGTGTCGTCAACCGGACAGCGATACAAAATCGTTCAACGGTACAAACCCTAACAGTGCCAGCTGGTCCTCGCATATATACAGATACATTCAACATTATAAGGATAGCATATCATATGTCCTGTTTTCTTCCGCCGATGACGATGCCTGCCAATTCGGACAAAAGCGGCGGTAGAAATACTGCCTAGGAAGTACAAACGATTACAAAGAGCATGCAGCTAAACACTTGATGGCACTATGTTTTGGCCCATTTTGGTTTAACGATCTTATATCACTCTTGAGAATGTATCACAGCTCGAAGTATTGAGTGCCGTCAACACATTTGTGATTTAGCACTACAGCTTTGTTTAACCAGCATTGGACATTGTGGGTAATTAACTCAACATAATAGCTTTTAACTCATAATCCTTGAAAGGAGTTCAAGGCATTTCTTTCTCATATCAACAACACATACAGTAAGACATATGGCCAACACAGAGCCACAAGGGCCCATCGGGGTTGTCCTACCTCAGGTTCCGTATATCCTCGAAGCTGATCTAATCAACCGACACGGCTGAATTTAGCCAGGGCAGTTTAGCCATTTAGGGGGGGGGGGGCTATTAGGTGTGTCATATCCCTATGAAGTTAATATCATCAATAAATTCTAGCACCGTACTATCTAATACAATTTTAATATTATTTCTAAACATAATACAGAGCAAATGACTCAACACCAACTTCTGCGTAACCCCATTTTTCTACCAGCTCCTACTGAGATTTTGCACCATCGAGCGCTACTCTTTGTTTCCCGTCTAACAGCCTAGCACTTGCCCAATCAAGAACTTTCCCTCATGCCATGCAATTTGAACTGATATAACAGACGCTGGTATGGCACCCCATCAATCACTTTATTTCAATCTAGATAAACAACATCTTAACTACTGCTTTTACCTATCTGACTAGTAACATATTACATGGACTCTAGATTTGGCAAGCAGGACTGACCGGAGAGAAAAAGATGCTGACTTATGTTCATCAACTGATGCCTATCTAATTGTGGCTGGATGAATTTCTCTAAGATCTCACACACTTTTGAGGTTAGACCGACAAGCCCGTAGCTGCTGACACCTTTTACCCCCTCTTTAATTTTGGCACTTCATTGGCATTGCACCAGTCCTCGGGTATTTCTGAGAGACTGAATAATTTGTTGAATAAAAACAGAACAGGAAAGGGTAAGGTAAGCAGTGTACCCATTACTTAACCATATATGTCGGGTCAGCTCCCATTGCCTTTTTAACCTTGATATCCTTCAAGCTATCACCATTCCCTCGGTCACCGTCCATCAAGACCGCCCTTGGTCTATTAACTATTACGAGGTAAGATTATATATACATATGTGTATATATATATACATATATATATATATATATATATATATATATATGTGTATACGTTTATATATGCATGTATGTGTGTATATTTATACACCTTATTATATACAATATTACCTACCACGCAAAGCCTCCTTTGTTTAAAAAATCTGAAGAAAACTGTCTGTTACGAGTATCTCCAATATCCCTGTCTTCCACTTATGACTTTTCGTCTTTCTTGAGAGGGCTGACGGAAAAACCTAGAAATTTACCCTTAACAAAATTTGAAATAAGATTAGGATTACCCTTACCTATATAATCCACAAAAGGGAAACTTTACAATGATATTTTGGTACTGTATTTTTTACCTTCGTTACCCAAAGACATTAGATGCGCCATTTACCAGACCATATAAGTGTTATGGCGTGGTCGCTCAGTAGTTTCCGTCAAGTGGGCGAGGCCTGCAGCAGAACGCACGATTATCGATGACCTTCTGGCTTATGCATATAGCCAGCGGCCTATCCATATATCTATCATTTGTTCAGCCTGCATTATATCCAAACATAGCCCACACACCACATCAGCAGATCCTGGCAAAGCCGCGGCCACCGTCCTTCACTGAGCGACTGGCCAGAGCGGTGGAGCTCGGGGCGACCGGCGCCGGCTCAGAGCAGCTGCACCACGCGCCGGATCCAGGGCACGTAGAAGCCGACCCTCGTGTAGACGCCGGGATTGAGCTCGCTGCCACAGCCAGTGCCGGTCGACGCGACACCGGTGAGCAGCCAGCGGCCGTCGTCGCTGCGGCAGGCCAGCGGACCGCCTGAGTCGCCTTGACAGGTGTCCGTGCCACCCGCCACGTGACCGGCACACACCATGCGGCCGGCCACGAAGCGTGCGCCGTACACCTCCTGCGCGCCGCAGAACGCGTCGGAGACGAGCGGCACCTCGCCGCCGTGCAGCTCGCGCGCCGCCGAGGCCACCGTGTTCGGCAGCAGCGGGTTTGTCTTGCCCCAACCGGAGATCTCACACGGTTGGCCGGTTTGCAGCGGCGCGTCGGCCGCCGGCAGGCACAGCGGTTGCACGTGGTCGCTGAACGCTACCGGCCGGCCCTGGCGCACACGTAGCTTAACCACTGCCAGGTCGTTGGCATAGCCGTTGTGCGCGGTGGCGCGATACTCGGGGTGTGAGAGCACGTTCTCGATGGCGAATGTCTGTTCGTGCGGCTCGGAGGCATCCATGCGGTCGTGCTGGCCCACCTTGACCTGCAGCGCGGAGAGGGCACGCGAGATGCAGTGCGCGGCCGTCAACACGTGGCGTGAGCCGATCAGCACGCCACCGCAGTGGTGCTCGAAGTAGCCGGCCTCGTTGTACGCCTCGATCTGTGCCTGCCACGGGTAGGTGCCGTAGGAGGCACGGTGGCCGGACACCACGCGGTTGGTCACGCCGCTCGACAACAGCACGCGGTTCTGCACGTCGCTGGCAGCCAGCGCCGCCAGCGGGCGGCGTCCGCAGTCGGCCGGCAGCACGGCCAGCGTCGGCCTCGGCGGCGAGCTGGTCGGCCGCGGCGAGGTGACGCCCATCCGCGTGGGTTTCGGAATAGTGGGGCTGATCGCAGAGCCTTCGAACGGCATCCACACGCCCAGCGTCTTGAGAATTTCGATCAGCTCACTAACTGACGGTATCAACTCGTGGGAACCGGAGTTGGGTTTGGCAGTGATGATGGCATCTTTTGCGGCTTTTAAGGCGGCCGCCGCACCGCCCACAGAAAACGAGTAGTAGTCGCTGCTGGGGTCTTCGACGACGCCAGCGGCGCCGTCGCACGAGCTGCAGCCGATGAGACACTCACCGGAGCCCTGGTGGTAGGCAAAGAACCTGCACTTGGGATGCCCCTCGAAGTGCCGCATGCAGTAGAAAGCGCAGGTGGCGAGGCTGACGCCCGAAAACGGGACTGAGTACAGGGTCAGCGAGTGGCCCGGCTGTCTCTGGTATATGCCCAAGGCCAAATTGCAGATACGTTCCTCATTGAAGCTCGTGCACTGTACTACGCCGTCACACACCTGGCTAAGTGGGATACAGCCGGCCTTGCAGGCGACCATGTCTTGGTTGGGGCACCCAAATGGTTTCAAGCCTACATTAGTCGGAACTGAGCTGTTGCCCGGCGGTGACGTCAGCAGGCGCGGCATCGACGGCTTCTCGCGCGCATACAACTCGTAACCCTCCCTTGCCAGCAGCCGACCAGACCGGAAGAACAGCCGGCAGCGATCAGCGCCGTTCTTCAATGCATTGAAGCTGAATGCCACGCAGCCTAACACGGCGTCGTTGCAGGTGCGCGCGCATGCTCGCAGGTTGACCCCGGCCCAGTAATCCTGTGCGCTTGCAGGCACGTCCATGGTGACGCCGCTGGTCTTGCGGTACGGGCACAGGCAGTCTTCGCAGTGCAGCTCATCGCGTCCCGAGCCGCAGTCGGCGACGCCGTCGCAGATGTCGGTGTTGTGGAAGCAGACGCGCGGCCGGGCCCACGGGTCGCAGAGATTCTGCAGGCTGCAGTCAGTGTCGCTCACGAGCAGGTCACGCCGCCACCGCCGCTGACGCGCGGGCGCGCCGGCGTGCCGCTCGACCCATGAGGCGAGCGTCGCCTCCGAGAACGAGGCCGGCTCGCACGCTGGGGGCCAGCGGCAGCGGAGTTAGAGCGCGGCATGCGTACGGGACGCAGGCGAACACATGCGGCTCGCGGACGATCACAGTATTACGGATGAAATCGGTATTCGGTCCCCAGTGTGTGCGCAACATCTCGGCCCATCAATTCTATGGTCGTGGTCAGGTGTTGATGGTTTAGGCATCCATGTGTGAACATGCCATTAACCAAATTTTGTTGTTGGCTGGAATTCTAACTAGTGTCTTGTGATTTTAAGTCAAGTGATTTTCCACTGCGTTAAACACGAAGGACAATTTTTCGGCGATAGAACTTAGCCTTGCTTATTTCATCCATATGTTGGGGTTTTCCGCGAAATTGAGAGCCGTATTGGATGATGCCTGCGTAAGTGTAAACACTGAGTGGAGGGCGAGATATGTTCCCTCCATTTTCTACAAGGTGGAAAACTTTCCGCCCAATTTCATCCGTAAAATGCGCTTTTTAATGTTTACAAATTCAAAATAGCATTTTCAGGTCATGTTGTCCTCTTCAGTTTCCAGTTTGACCGTTGCTGTCTTGACTTGCCATTCCTCCCCTTCCTCCCCTTCCACCCCTTCCACAATCTGGTAAGACTTGAGGATACCTCTGCTTGGCTTGCTGATGAGGTTGTCAGTCCATGCCATGGGCGGTGCCTCTTGATCTGTCTAACTTTCCAGTGCTGCGCTCTGTCGATGATGGGCTCATGAGGCATTAGCCTCCTCCCGCCCTCGCCAGCTGAGCGCAGTTTTTCACCGTAACTCTACTGAATATAATCCCGGAATATGATGGTCAGAACAGCTATTTTGTATTAAATCTCATAGACACTGCCACAAGCTGCGACCTGTAGTGCTTCACAACCACAATTTAGTAACAAGCCTGGCGGATAGCCGAGTGAACATGTCCGGCATGCTGTTGAAACAACTGTTTGAGCCAACAGGGCAAATCAACATCGATAGCTCATTGCGATATGACAGCTGCAGTACCTGTTACCGCTTGTAGGGTCCATCAGGTCTGCTTGCAAAGGGTATTTTCTGATAATTGGGCTTGAGCTCACTCGTAAAAATAGATCCCCTCCCCTATCCCAAATCATTCATTTGCGCCACGTAGCCCGCACCGTGGCGCATACCTGCCTGCGCCCCCACTCAGAAAATTTGCCTTTCTATGCTCCTCCAGTCTGACTGACAGTGACCTGTTTCTCCCTGGTAGGACCTGCCACAGCGGCATGGAATGTCGCATACGCCGCTCTTCGTGTGTTCCTTAGGTGTCAGTGGTCTAACTTCGGCAAGTGTTCTCTTGAGGGTTGCGCGTCTTCTAAAAACTTCCTTGATGTTGTATCGTGCACTGATTTCCTGATTTTCCCTGACAACATTTGTTGTACGCTTATGATACCGATGCGGCTGTTTTTCTCCCTAAGGCGGCCCTGCGTCATCTGAGTGCTGTCCGTGCCTCTGTCCTACGAAGCCTTTCGGGTACTTATTCCTGTTGAATATCTCGGTTAGGTGGCGCATTTCTCTTCTCCTAGTAGCGTCATGAACGGCCGACAGCCCGCCCGACCCAGAAGGCGAGCGCCGCATCCGAGAGCGAAGCCGGCTCGCAGGATGTCCGTGAAGTTAGCGACTTTTCCGCGATTTTTACAACCGCGAGTTCTGATTTCCCTGAAAAATGGTTTCAAGGTCCATTGTGGCATGAGAACACCAAAAATGACCCTTATTTTGCAATATCATGTGACCTTCCAGGTCAAAAGCTGGGTTAAAGGACGGGGAACTCGATATCACCCAAAAATTACCGGCCGATTTTCAAGTTGCAAATGTCAGAATATTCATCATAGAAAGAACTAGTGTCCGTTATAAAGTTCTGACCTCTCAAGGTCACCCTTCAAGGTCAAACGCGGGCTCAAAGAACGAGGAACTCCATATCACTCAAAAATTACCGGCCGATTTTTAGCTAACAAACATCAGAACATTCATCACAGAAAGAGATACCGAGCGTCAAAAAGTCCTGACCTCTCAAAGTCAACCTTCAAGGTCAAACGCGGGCTCAAAGGACGGAGAATTCCATATCACCCAAAAATTACCGGCCAATTTTTAACCAACAAACATTTGAACATTCACCACAGAAAGAACTAGCGTCTGCCAAAAAGTCCTCACGTTTCAAGGTCACCCTTCAAGGTCAAACGCGGGCTCACAGGACGGGGAAACTCCATATCAACCAAAAATTACGGACCAATTTTTAACCTAAGATAAAAACATTCACCACAGAATGAGCTAGCGTCCGTCAAAAAATCCCTACCTCTCAAGGTCACCCTTCAAGGTCAAATGCGGGCTCAAAGACGGGGATCTCCATATCACCCAAAAATTACCGGCCGATTTTTAACTAACACTACTAACTAACTATCTTTTAAATCCGTCCTTTGGGCCGGCATTTGACCTTGAAGGGTGATCATGAGAGGTCATGATTTTTGATGGACGTTAGCTCTTTTTGTGATGAATGCTTTGATGGCTGATAGTTAAAAATCGGCCGGTAATTTTTGGGTGATATCGAGTTCCCCGTCCTTGGGCCCAGCTTTTGACCTTGAAGGTCACATGATATTGCAGAATAAGGGTCATTTTTGGTGTTTTCATGCCACAATTGGCCTTGAAATCATTTTTTTAGGTAAATCGGAACTCGTCGCTATAAAAATCGCTGAATAAATCGCTAACTTCACGGAAATGTCGCAGGCGGCGGTGCAGTTAGAGCACGGCATGCGCACGGCGCGCAGGCAGCGGAGTTAGAGCGCGGCATGCGCACGGGATTCAGGCAGCGGAGTTAGAGCATGGCATGCGTACGGGACGCAGGCAGCGGAGTTAGAGCACGACATGCGTGTGGGACGCAGGCAGTGGAGTTAGAGCACGGCATGCGCACGGGACGAAGGCGGCGGAGTTACAGCGCGGCATACGTGTGGGACGCAGGCGGCGGAGTTAGAGCGCGGCATGCGTCCTGGACTGAGGCGGCGGAGATAGAGCACGGCATGCGTACGGGACGTATGCAACGGAGTTAGAGCGCGGCATGCGCACTGGACGCAGGCAGCGGAGTTAGAGCATGCCATGCGTACGGGACGCAGGCAGCGGAGTTAGAGCACGACATGCGTGTGGGACGCAGGCAGTGGAGTTAGAGCACGGCATGCGCACGGGACGAAGGCGGCGGAGTTAGAGCGCGGCATGCGTGTGGGACGCAGGCGGCGGAGTTAGAGCGCGGCATGCGTCCTGGACTGAGGCGGCGGAGACAGAGCACGGCATGCGCACGGGACGTAGGCAGCGGAGTTAGAGCGCGGCTTGCGCGTGGGACGCAGGCGGCGGAGTTAGGAGCACGGCTATGCGTACGGGACGCAGGCGGCGGAATACGACGACATGCGCATGGGACGCAGGCGAAAGGCACATGTTCTGCGCACAGTCATGGACCTGTCAATATCTAACAGTCATCAATGGACGACGAGCGTCGAAGCCCCGGTTATGACAGAGTTCGGAAATTTGGGGATTATCTTTGTTTCGCCTATCTCGTGCCCATGACCGCACCCACGACTTTGGAAGAATCCGATCGAAGTTGGCGTTCTCGGACCGTGTGCAGTTGTCGAGTTTCGGCGCTGCTGTGAAAATAGTCCTGTGATATCGCACCCGGAATACAAGCGAGACACAGCCGAGCCGTTCGTGTCCAGTAAGCATTACCGTCCCGTTCAAGGACGCCGGGTGCTTTACGCCGAGACGTCTACAGAGACGGGCTGCCGCACCGGGATTAACAAGCTCATAAAGGAGATGACTTACGTGTCGCGAGACTAATGAAACACACATTTTGAGTATAAACAATGGTTCAGATAGCACAAAACGCTGTGCTAGTCAGCCTGCTGCACTGCATAACATCATTTCAACACAGGATTGCATGCACGAATATGAATGGCTGAAACTGAAGCGTGGGTCATTCTACGCCCAAAAATACTGCGGCCATCTCAATGGACGTGAATCATGTCCAGCTTACCCAACAAACGTGGAAGCGTACCTGTTGGCGGGTTTCCCAGTCCTTCGGCATGTTGCGCACGGCAACACTGTTGCAACAGCAGCAGAATAGTTACAGCGTACAGCAGCATGCCCATGCTGACGCACTCATAGACCGGATTACTGCGCAAAGTCGGCGAGAGTTGACGACGCTGGTGATCCTGAGCGCCCGCTGTCACCGCGAGCGCCATCTCTAGGCCGCATTTAAAGTTACTGGGTAACTGGATACACATGTTTAAAAGAGGTCGGTGACTCAGTTGATTTTGTCAAAAGTGGTACCAATGATGACCCATGACACCCTAACTCGCCTCCTAATTATAAATTACGCGCGACATCAAGTTGCTTGAGCTCCTGGGGTAAACAACGCTCGGGTGGATAATCAATTTGACTCCTCCGAAGGTTTGGCTAGAAGGATTTCCGAACAGCGCGTCATAGCCGCTCCAAATTTTGCATAGTTGTTGACAAGTGAATAGTGGATCATTTGATATAAAAAATTAGAAATGCCTGGTAAGGTCACTGATCGACGGCAGGTAAAAGTCAGGACATGGGTTTAGCAAAGGCAACTGCTAGGGGAATCGCTTAACCTGAGGCGACAACGGGGTGTTAGATGAAGCCATACACCTCTGAGATTATTTCTCAGGCAACAAAACTATTGAATGAACGATTCCATCGGCCTAGAGTCAGGCATGAGGGTCAAACTAAGGCCAAGCCCACCTGTTTTATTATTCTAGAGCTTGCTGTATGGCGTATATTCTGGTACTCACTTTATATTTATTGATAACAGCAACGGCATTATACATCTTCCATGGGCTTCTCAAAGACTGCAGCAGACCAATACCCTAAAATGACTCAGATTTACTTTTTGCTTGTAGAAACGTACTACCTAGCCTAATCTTTTGACGCTTATTCAACTGCAAAAATCAAAGCAGTCTTGTATTATTTTGGTCACCGTGACTTCAGAAAGGTCAAATAAGGTCACTGACCCCAACACGCGCCCGGATAGCCTGTTGGATGCTCTTTGTTTAGGTCGGGGGGGGGTCAATTTGACCCCCTTTGAGATCTCAGGAACTGAGAGAGCTTTATAGGGTGCATTAGCATGTACTGAACTCACTTGGGTGAAAGTTTAAGATTCCTAGGACATGACATTTGGGTCAAACAAGGTCGAACAAGATTCAACTTCAGGTTGATCTCCAAAGTGACCCCAGAACCTAGACACCTGTTCTGAGCAAAAGGTCATATGCACATTTAAGATCAGTGACGTGTTTGGCCTTTTTAAGGTCATGGTGACCAAAATCGGGCAAGACTGCTTTGAGTTCTGCATTTGAATAAGCAAAAAAGATTACGATAGGCAATATGCTCCTAAAAACCAAATGTTGACCAGGGTTATTTTAAATCAGCGACCTGTTCTCAACTTTAATGCGAATGATGCGGTTTCTGCTACCAATAAATTAGAAAAGAGGACCAGAAACTACCACATACAGCGAGCCCCAGAGTAATAAAACAGGTTGTTTTGATCTCGCTCTGGCCTTCATATCTGACCTTAGGTCAATGGAATTTGTTCATTCAGTTCTTGTATTGCCTAAGACAGTATCTCAAAGACGTTTGGCTTCGTCTAACTC